ATCTTCCTCGTTCCATTGTGTTAAGGAAGAAGACATTAGTTTTAACCCTTTCACCTCCATAAAGCTCCAGAATTATAGGAACCTCCCCAGAAGTCCCTAAAAGTTACAAAATCATCCCAAAAGTTCTAGTAAATTGCAAAAGTATCATCCATAAATTCCAGTATTGCAGAAACGTCCCAATAGGTTCAAAAAATTACAGAAATATCACCCCAGAAGTTTTAAAAATTGCAGAAACATCCCAGAAAGTTCTACACTTTGTAGGATCATCCTCTAACTTGTCAAGTATCCTCTTGGAGTTGCATCTAACACCAGGTACGAGTTCTTTTCGTTGAAAATTGGTGACTAGTATTTATATTTGTTGATAAGTCAAACAAAAAACCTAAACTTTCTTTTTTGTTGTTCCCGCATACCACCTTCATAACCTTCTTTGTTTGTTGTTCCCACACACCACCTTCATAACTTAGCTTACCCAATTTCTTGTTAAATCCATTGTTTCTTGTCTCACATTTATTTGAGTCTCTTTGCAATAAGTTTGTTCTTATGTGTGATCATTTGCATTGATTTATAATTTTTATTACTTGGTTTAATTTTTAGTCTAGTCGGCCATTTACGTTAGCCCAAATTTTACATTACATTCACTATGACCCTTCGTGAGCTTTCAGAATCCCATACTGCATTAGAATAAAAATTTGAGACCCCCACCATTGATATGACCGATACTAAACAATCAGTCGACTTGTTACGTGAGGAAGTTAAAGGAATGAGACAACAATTTTCTCAAGTTACTACTCAATTAGCCCAATTAACTAAGTTTATGAAAAAACAACCAATAGACTATGACCAGAGTGGGTCACAAGTTTCGCCTAAGTCTAACCAAGTACCCAATGTTCAGCACCTGCCTCTCCCAATAGATGCTACTAACTTATGTCAAGGTGTCCTACCCACTCCACAAGTAGCTCAGGGGAGCTGAATACAGCGTCCAGATAGGAAAACACCTCCTAATACTGTTTTTGGACGAAACGTAGGTCGTAGGAATGTTTAGGAGGATCCCANGATAGGAAAACACCTCCTAATACTGTTTTTGGACGAAACGTAGGTCGTAGGAATGTTTAGGAGGATCCCACTGAGGTAGTCATGTTTGATTATTCAGCAGAGGGTGATATGGATGGTTATCGTGAGCCCTTCCGCCCACGTGCCAGATACCATAAGTCTTTCCCTCTGCATTACCATAATCTTCGACATAGGCATGTCCACAAAGAATCTAGGCATATCACACAAAAAGTCAAAGTGGACGCTCATAGCTTTGATGGTAGTAGGTTAGATCCTGTTGCTTTCTTAGATTGGTTGGATGACATAGATGACTATTTTGATTGGTATAATATGTCCGACAACCATCTGGTTCGTCTTGCCAAAATGAAACTTGTTGGTTAGGCTAAGAGATATTGGCAGGGAGTCCAACGAGACCAAGAGCGCCTAGAGGGACAACCTATTACTTTATGGGCTGAGATGAAACAAAGATTGCGAGATAAATATCTCCCTAGTTACTATAAGCGCCAACTCTTGGACAAGTGGATGAACTTGCGTCAATTGACCTCGAGTGTGACTGATTACCTAGCTCGATTTGAAGAGCTCTTTCTGAGATATGACATAAAGGAAGAGCAGTGGGTAATAGTTACAAAATTCATTAATGGCTTACGACCTGAGATTAAGAGAGAGCTTAACTTACATTCTCCTGAAACGGTTGAGGAAGCATATTATAAAGTCTTAGATTGAACAATACCTTAGGCCACCCTTTCAGCGTTGAATGTCTTCTCAAACTGGAGAATCTCAACCATCAAGGTTAGTCCCATTTGATCGGTCTCGAGGCGTCACCCAGTTAGGCTCTGTCACATCTAGGGGTAACAATTACCCCAACTTGAGAGGTAATACCACTAGGGGTCGAGATTCTACACTCACAAGTTCTCGCCAAGACAGTTCTTCCATAGAGTGTCATCGTTGTCATGGCAAGGGTCATATTGCTTCATAGTACCCTCAGCGTACCTTGACCATTGGCCAGGGATTAGAGAATTCACTTGACAGAGAGGATGTTGACCAAGAGGTTGATCCTTTGGATGAGGAACCCTTAGAGTTACTAGGTGAGGGTGAAGAAGAGTGGCAAACCAATGATACCCGTGTCAGTGTGATGCGATGCATCTTATCCACCCCTTTAGACACAAAAGCATGGAAACGCACCAGCATTTTTCATACTCTAGTCCGATGTGGGGGTCAAGTTTGCAAGATCGTCATTGATGGGGAAGTTCATTGAATGTCATCTCTAAATCCAGCTGTAGCTCAGTTGCAGCTTAAGTGGTGGCTTAAGAGTTGGATGGACATAGTTAGATTAAGTGGTGGTTAATAGAAAATAATTTTCAAGATTTTCCCGGAATGTTTATTGGAATCATGGTTAAAAATGTTGCTTAGGCTAGATAAATATAAACCACCAAAAGTGACAATTCNTTTGAGTCATGTGATATGTAACACCCGAGTCATAGACCCATGCGGTTCGAGATATACCTGAAGGACTTGAAGTGAACGAACCTATGGAAGAGTGTTAGGCTGCGGAAGAAGTTTTTGCAACTGATCAGCAATCATAGTCAATTTCAGACCAATGGAGGGGTGAGAGTCAGCATTTCTACTTGCCATAATAGTAGCAAACAAAACTCAAATAACAACAATCAAATTACCTGAACTAAATCCAAAACCCAAAGCCCAATACAAGGGCTAGCAACTAGCAAAATCCAAAGGAATCAAATTTTAGAGGAAAACAATAGCCCAAACCTTAATACAAGCATCTCGAGCCAATAAATCAAACCAGCAATCCCAATACCCACGTGAAAGCTCAGTAAACACCAAATAGCGGCCCAACATATCAGGCNTTATGGAAAAGTGATCCAATAAGTCCGGGTTCAAACGAACCAGGCTTCTTTTCCTCTAAATCCAACAAAAGATGAAGTTTTCAAATCCCTCCTCCAAAAAAAAAAATGCCCAATATCTGGACCCTCCTTTTGCAGGAATAAGAATAAGTCCTCATACATCATAATATACCAAATCAAAAAGTACAAGAGAGCTAGTAGAATTTTTATTAAAGGGTAATGGTGTAAATTTAGTTAAGATGCATCCACTACAACTAAAAATGTCATAACGCTCAAGTTCCCTAAACTGCTAATGGAGACTAAAAACTTAAAACTAGAATGAGGCACATGATCAAAACGAGAATGTCACAAATAAAAGTTTAAAGACTGTGGACTCAAATGAAAAGACGACAAGTCAACAGTAGAAGTAGCAATATCTGGATCTGCAACTCGTCTAACACATACAATCCTCTCTTTCTACTACTTGTCCCAATCATTTTTTTGGAACATGGATCCTGCATAACACAACTGGAAAAAGAAAAGTGAATCGAGAATTCAGAGCCAAATAGTACTAACCGAAATTAAATTCAAGGCAAGCAGTGTGGAATATAATAAACATTGGAAATAGCTAGTTGTGGAGAAATAATAGACCCAACACCTGCGAAGTATATTTGAGTCATGTGATATGTAACACCCGAGTCATAGACCCATGCGGTTCGAGATATACCTGAAGGACTTGAAGTGAACGAACCTATGGAAGAGTGTTAGGCTGCGGAAGAAGTTTTTGCAACTGATCAGCAATCATAGTCAATTTCAGACCAATGGAGGGGTGAGAGTCAGCATTTCTACTTGCCATAATAGTAGCAAACAAAACTCAAATAACAACAATCAAATTACCTGAACTAAATCCAAAACCCAAAGCCCAATACAAGGGCTAGCAACTAGCAAAATCCAAAGGAATCAAATTTTAGAGGAAAACAATAGCCCAAACCTTAATACAAGCATCTCAAGCCAATAAATCAAACCAGCAATCCCAATACCCACGTGAAAGCTCAGTAAACACCAAATAACGGCCCAACATATCAGGACTAAAAAGCAAACAAAGGTCCAGCAAGTTGTGAAAGGTGTCCAGCAAAATTCCCAACGCGACTGAAGACCAGCAGGAGAGTATTTGAGGAGGGTTGCAACATTACTGTGCAACCAAGAGGCCGAATCCAGCAGCAGAATCCCAAAGCACCAACTTCACAAACCAGAAACCAACGAAGAAGTAGATGCTCAATAGGCCTAGGAAGGATTTCCGACACCAACAACAAACAGACGAGACCACAGAGAAGAAACTGATCAAGTTTGCATCAAGAAATCAGTTCAGTATGCTGCAAATCACCCTATTGAGCAAACAGAACAAGAGATTTTACCAAACTTTGCTGAAATCCCAGAAATTCACACTGAAAAACTGTTTTAGGCCACAGAACCACAAAAATCATCCAAATCTTGCCACCAATCAACCCAACAGCCTTGAATCATTCAGATGAACACTTAGACCCCTAGTCGCACCCTTATGACTGATTGGAATCAGAAATTTTGGCAAAAAACCCTAGATCTAGCAGATCAAAAATTTTCAACTTATTTTTCTAAAAAATCTTCAAAAAGTCGCAACAACTACAAGATGAACTCGAAATAAAAAATGAAGCACAACAATGAGTAACCCATGAGTATCATTACAGCTAATGAGTCTTTGCAATTTCATTATTATCCAAGATACATAATAGGGGCCCTAATATAGTAGGGCAAAATAAAATACTAAACTACCTTTAATGCTGAATATACTAGACTACTCTAACAGTGCTACTTCAATGGACCACATATAAAAATGAATCGGCAATGTCCTAACAATAAATAAAAACAATAAGGATGAAAGATAAAAGGTGCTAGAACTGTACCTGCCATAACACCCTTTTAGTCAAATTTTTAAGGAGAAAATGCTCGTACAAGTGCCGCCGAATTTAATTGTTTAGCCATAATTTGTGTTAAGCATGTTAATTGAACATGTCTGACAAAATATATTTCTGTAATACAACTCACTGAAATTTACAGGCCCCATTTGGCAGTATGCATGATTTTTTGTTCGAGTCGAATATTTACCCACTCCTTAGGGCCTCATGGTTTAAGCCTTTGGCTGTGGAGGATCAGATGAGGTGGCTGATGAAGTGGAGGACTTCTATGCGGATGATGTGGAAGGTTTAAATGAGGTTTACTTGGGCAGTACATCAAGTGTCCACATTGGTAACTGGAGAGGGAGTGATAGATATGTTTGGACAAGATGACAACAAGCAATTCTAGTTTATCATCCAAAGGTCCAGGAATCAAGTGCTTCCATCCCCATGAGCCTAAGAAGAAAGAGGTTGCAAAAGATACAGTGGGGCGACTGGCAAAGAGGGCACTGAAGCATGAAGTTGCTGGTAAGACAGCTGCTGCAAAACATCAGCAGCATTCGGTGAGGTTGGGCCGGATGTGATGCACTTTTGTCATCCCTTGGAAAGTATATGTTCACTGCCCCTGCTATGTCTTCAAATTTAAATGCTTGATCATTGCACTATGCTAGGCATTGATTTGCAAAACTACTTGGATAGATGTGGCTGCCGGAAATTTTAGAGTTAAGTAGGTGAATAACAGGTTACACTTACACAGTTGATAGGTGTTTCTTCTTTAAGCAAAATCAATTCAGTCATGCATTGTGTTACCAACCATACAACAACATATTTTCATCAAAAAAAATGGATGCAATCAAAAAATTCATTTGGATTACAAAAAAAAACATTTTCTGGGACATATATGCAATTTTAAGAAAAAAAGAAACATAGGAGAGAATTTTTTTTATTGCTAAAAAATGCAATTTGTTGACTTCTAAGTGTATAATTCCATAATATGATAATGTTAAAAGAAAAAAAGAAACAGACTTCACTGAATTAGGAGCAAATAAGTAATCAATTGTACCTCTTAACTTTCAAAACATGGCATGCAGTTAAAAGAAGTGGGTATAAAATAGAATGGTGCTTGAGATGGATATTTTGAGATTGGGAAGAGATCCACCCATTTTATAAAAAGAGCATAGGGTTGGGTGAAAATTTTCATATACACCTAAATATTACCTACTAAAATGAGTGTATACATATAAATGTGTATACACACCCTTATATGAAATGACAGATTTGGCTATTTAAAATCCCACAGAGCAACACATAATTTATCTTTAAACCTTAGAAAATTTATACTCTAATTGCACAGTGACCACACTAAATTTGTTCTTAAGAATCCATCAAATAGAAGAAATTTTTGTGATCACTCCAATGAAAAAGGAGTTAAATGCTTCATTTTTTATTTTTTTTTGGTATGACAAACTGTGTTGTTAATACAGTTAAATGCTCAACATAGCCACTGGAAAAAAAAAGCCAAATTTGACATTCCCAGAAACAGGTTTCAATTCAAACCACCTTTTCTCCACTTTGAAAACATTAACTCTTTTAAGTTAAACAAAATTTACTAAAATAGTCAGAGTTTTCTTTTTAAAAAGAAAAAAAAACATACAATATAAATCATTTCTATTCAACACATGCACAATATCAATCAAAAACAAAAGTAGTTTCAAATTGCAGTTACCCAATACATTCCAAATTAGATTTTTTTCTTTCAATTTTTCCTCAAAGCTTCCACTAATTTAGAACTTTTGTCAAACAAGTGACCAATTTTTGCTCAAATATCCTACATATTTTCAAGAAATAAAAATATAATGCTAAAACTACTAACTAAAACAAGTCAATAAATTAATCAATAGGATGGATGGCTGTTAAACTGGTATCAGTTTCAAAATTTTATGGACCTCCTAATGTCAATCCCAAATTTATATGGACCTTCTTTCCGTTCTATTTATTTCATTTATTTCCGGCAGCCACGCCTATTCAATTTTTACAAATCAATGCTGATCATCGGAGCAATATAAACTCCAATCCTAAATTAAAATTCATTGGAACCGAATGTACATCCTGAGCAAAGTTCAGTAAGAAGTGCAATGGTAGCACAGTGCAATGATCAAGCACTTGAATTTGAACATAGAAGGGGGCAGTGAGAGCTCATTATAGAAATCCTACATCTACCATGTCATTATTAACAAATATTTTGTACAAGCAAACAGCAAAGTGCAAGGATGAAGGCTGCAGAAGGCAATCACAATCACATCCGGCCCAATCTCACCAAATGCTGCTGATATTTGGCAGCAGCTGCCTTATCGGCAGCTTCACGCNCAAAAAAAACATTTTCTGGGACATATATGCAATTTTAAGAAAAAAAGAAACATAGGAGAGAATTTTTTTTATTGCTAAAAAATGCAATTTGTTGACTTCTAAGTGTATAATTCCATAATATGATAATGTTAAAAGAAAAAAAGAAACAGACTTCACTGAATTAGGAGCAAATAAGTAATCAATTGTACCTCTTAACTTTCAAAACATGGCATGCAGTTAAAAGAAGTGGGTATAAAATAGAATGGTGCTTGAGATGGATATTTTGAGATTGGGAAGAGATCCACCCATTTTATAAAAAGAGCATAGGGTTGGGTGAAAATTTTCATATACACCTAAATATTACCTACTAAAATGAGTGTATACATATAAATGTGTATACACACCCTTATATGAAATGACAGATTTGGCTATTTAAAATCCCACAGAGCAACACATAATTTATCTTTAAACCTTAGAAAATTTATACTCTAATTGCACAGTGACCACACTAAATTTGTTCTTAAGAATCCATCAAATAGAAGAAATTTTTGTGATCACTCCAATGAAAAAGGAGTTAAATGCTTCATTTTTTTTTATTTTTTTTTGGTATGACAAACTGTGTTGTTAATACAGTTAAATGTTCAACATAGCCACTGGAAAAAAAAAAGCCAAATTTGACATTCCCAGAAACAGGTTTCAATTCAAATCACCTTTTCTCCACTTTGAAAACATTAACTCTTTTAAGTTAAACAAAATTTACTAAAATAGTCAGAGTTTTCTTTTTAAAAAGAAAAAAAAACATACATTATAAATCATTTCTATTCAACACATGCACAATATCAATCAAAAACAAAAGTAGTTTCAAATTGCAGTTACCCAATACATTCCAAATTAGATTTTTTTTCTTTCAATTTTTCCTCAAAGCTTCCACTAATTTAGAACTTTTGTCAAACAAGTGACCAATTTTTGCTCAAATATCCTACACATTTTCAAGAAATAAAAATATAATGCTAAAACTACTAACTAAAACAAGTCAATAAATTAATCAATAGGATGGATGGCTGTTAAACTGGTATCAGTTTCAAAATTTTATGGACCTCCTAATGTCAATCCCAAATTTATATGGACCTTCTTTCCGTTCTATTGATTTCATTTATTTCCGGCAGCCACGCCTATTCAATTTTTACAAATCAATGCTGATCATCGGAGCAATATAAACTCCAATCCTAAATTAAAATTCATTGGAACCGAATGTACATCCTGAGCAAAGTTCAGTAAGAAGTGCAATGGTAGCACAGTGCAATGATCAAGCACTTGAATTTGAACATAGAAGGGGGCAGTGAGAGCTCATTATAGAAATCCTACATCTACCATGTCATTATTAACAAATATTTTGTACAAGCAAACAGCAAAGTGCAAGGATGAAGGCTGCAGAAGGCAATCACAATCAGAGCATCACATCCGGCCCAATCTCACCAAATGCTGCTGATGTTTGGCAGCAGCTGCCTTATCGANTTGTACAAGCAAACAGCAAAGTGCAAGGATGAAGGCTGCAGAAGGCAATCACAATCACATCCGGCCCAATCTCACCAAATGCTGCTGATATTTGGCAGCAGCTGCCTTATCGGCAGCTTCACGCTTTAGTGCCCTTTTTGCCCTTCGTCCAACGGTATCTTTTGCAATCTCTTTCTTCTTAGGTTCACGTGATGGACCAGCACCAGACCCCTGGACATTTGGATGAGAAACTGGCCTTGCTTGTTGCCGCCCTGCCCTAACATATCCATTATCACCCCATCTCCGGTTACCTATGCGGAAACTTGATGAACTGGCCAAGTAAACATCATCTAAACCTTCCCCATCATCCTCATAGAGATACAAGTCCTCCACCTCATCATCCACCTCCCCCTGGTCCTCCACAACTAAAGGCTTTAACCACGAGGCTCTAAGGAGGAGGCAAACACTCTCCTCAAACAAAAAATCATGCATACTGCTCAAGCAGGACATGAAAATTTCAGTAAGTGGCAATACAAAAAATATATCATATCAAACATCTCCTATTAACATGTTTAACACATAACACAATACAAATCTAATATGATACAATTTATTGTTAGGACATTGCCGTAACACCCTTTTAATCAAATTTCTATGGAGAAAATGCTCGTACAAGTGCCATCATGGATGATATTTGAGATAATTAGTTGCTTTGAATAATGCTTTGTAATTTGGTGATTTAATCTACAAGCTAATTTAATTTTTTAGCCATAATTTGTGTTAAGCATGTTAACTGAACATGTCTGACAAAATATATTTTCTGTAATACAACTCACTGAAATTTACAGGCCCCATTTGGCAGTATGCATGATTTTTTGTTTGAGTCGAATGTTTACCCACTCCTTAGGGCCTCATGGTTTAAGCCTTTGGCTGTGGAGGATCAGATGAGGTGGCTGATGAAGTGGAGGACTTCTATGCGGATGATGAGGAATGTTTAAATGAAGGTTTACTTGGGCAGTACATCAAGTGTCCACATTGGTAACTGGAGAGGGGGTGATAGATATGTTAGGATAAGATGACAACAAGCAATTCTAGTTTGTCATCCAAAGGTCCAGGAATCAAGTGCTTCCATCTCCATGAGCCTAAGAAGAAAGAGGCTCCAAAAGATACAGTGGGGCGACTGGCAAAGAGGGCACTGAAGCATGAAGTTGCTGGTAAGACAGCTGCTGCAAAACATCAGCAGCATTCGGTGAGTTTGGGCCGGATGTGATGCACTTTGTCATCCCTTGGAATGTATATTTATGAAATAATGACATGGTATATGTAGGGTATCTGTTATAACAGGCTGAATGGCTGTTCACTGCCCCTGCTATGTCTTTAAATTTAAAGCTTGATCATTGCACTATGCTAGGCATTGATTTGCAAAACTACTTGGATAGATGTGGCTGCCGGAAATTTTAGAGTTAAGTAGGTGAAAGACAGGTTACACTTACACAGTTGATAGGTGTTTCTTCTTTAAGCAAAATCAATTCAGTCATGCATTGTGTTACCAACCATATAACATCATATTTTCATCAAAAAAATGAATGCAATCAAAAATTTCATTTGGATTACCAAAACAAAAATATTTTCTGGGACATATATGCAATTTTAAGAAAAAAAGAAATATAAAAGAGAATATTTTTTATTTCTAAAAATACAATTTGTTGACTTCTAAGTATATGTTAATGTTAAAAGGAAAAAAAAACAGACTTCACTGAATTAGGAGCAAATAAGTGATCAATTGTACCTCTAACTTTCAAAACATGACATGCATCTAAAAGAAGTGGGTATAAAATAGAATGGGGCTTGAGATGGATATTTTGAGATTGGGAAGACATCCACTCTTTTTATTATAATGTATTTGAAAAAGAGCATAGGGTTGGGTGAAAATTTTCATATACACCTAAATATTACCACTAAAATGAGTGCATATATATAAATATATTTGTACACACACACCACCCTATATGAAATGACAGATTTTGCTATTTAAAATCCCACAAAACAACACATAATTGATCTGTAAACCTCTGAAAATTTCTACTCTCTAATTGCACAGTGACCACACAAAATTTGTTCCCAAAAATCCATCAAATAGAAGAAATTTTTATGATCACTGCAGTGAAAAAGTAAAGTTCAATGTCCAGACCAACTGTATTGGGTTTTTTTTTTTTTTGGAAATACAGTTAAATTGCTCAACATAGCCACTGAAAAAAAATGCCACTGCAGCTTAGCAAAAGCCAAATTTTACATTCCCAGAAACAGGGTTCAATTCAAACCACCTTTTCTCCACTTTGAAAACATTAACTCTTTTAAGTTAATAAAATTTACTAAAATACTTGCAGTTTTCTTTTTAAAAAGAAAAAAAAAACATATAATATCAATTAGAAACAAAAGAAGTTTCAAATTGCAGTTAACCAATAAATTCCAAATTAGATTTTTTTTTCTTTCAATTTTTTCCTTNTTCCCAGAAACAGGGTTCAATTCAAACCACCTTTTCTCCACTTTGAAAACATTAACTCTTTTAAGTTACTAAAATACTTGCAGTTTTCTTTTTAAAAAGAAAAAAAAAACATATAATATCAATTAGAAACAAAAGAATTTTCAAATTGCAGTTAACCAATAAATTCCAAATTAGATTTTTTTTCTTTCAATTTTTTCCTCNGAAAAAAAAAACATATAATATCAATTAGAAACAAAAGAAGTTTCAAATTGCAGTTAACCAATAAATTCCAAATTAGATTTTTTTTTCTTTCAATTTTTTCCTTCAAGCTTCCACTACTTTAGAACTTGTCAATTCCAATTTTTGCTCAAAGATCCTACATATTTTCAAGAAATAACAATAAAGTGCTAAAACTACTAAAACAAGCCAAGAAAATAATCAATAGGGTGGATTGGCAGTTAAATTGGTATCAGTTTCAAAGTTTTTTGGACATCCTAATTTCAGTCCCAAATTTATAGACCTTCTTTCTGTTTTATTTATTTCATTTATTTCCGGCAGCCACGCCTATTCAAATTTTGCAGATCANAATTTATAGACCTTCTTTCTGTTTTATTTATTTCATTTATTTCCGGCAGCCACGCCTGCAGNAAGAAAATAATCAATAGGGTGGATTGGCAGTTAAATTGGTATCAGTTTCAAAGTTTTTTGGACATCCTAATTTCAGTCCCAAATTTATAGACCTTCTTTCTGTTTTATTTATTTCATTTATTTCCGGCAGCCACGCCTATTCAAATTTTGCAGATCAATCAATGCCCACAAACTTTTGATCATTGGAGTAATATAAACTCCAATCCTAAACTAAAATTCATTGGACCTGAATGTACAACCTGAGCAAAGTTCAGTCNAATTTATCGCCACCCAAGCAAGATCTAGTTGAAGAACGCACAAAATATAGAAATTAAAGCGGAATCACAAGAAACCCACCTGCTCTTGGCCCAATAGATCGTCAAGAAGGTCGGTTGGTTGTTGACCATCGATCTTGACGATGGTACTCGTTGTCTATGGCACCGGAGAAGAAAAGAGAACNGGGCAGTGAGAGCCCATTATAACCTAGAAACCCTACATCTACCATGTCATTATTAACAAATATTCTGTACAAGCAAACAGCAAATTGCAAGGATGAAGGCTGCAGAAGGCAATCACAATCAGAGCATCACATCCGGCCCAACCTCAACAAATGCTGCTGATGTTTGGCAGCAGCTGCCTTATCGGCAGCTTCACGCTTTAGTGCCCTTTTTGCCCTTCGTCCAACGGTATCTTTTGCAATCTCTTTCTTCTTAGGTTCACGTGATGGACCAGCACCAGACCCCTGGACATTTGGATGAGAAACTGGCCTTGCTTGTTGCCGCCCTGCCCTAACATATCCATTATCACCCCATCTCCGGTTACCTATGCGGAAACTTGATGAACTGGCCAAGTAAACATCATCTAAACCTTCCCCATCATCCTCATAGAGATACAAGTCCTCCACCTCATCATCCACCTCCCCCTGGTCCTCCACAACTAAAGGCTTGAACCACGAGGCTCTAAGGAGGAGGCAAACACTCTCCTCAAACAAAAAATCATGCATACTGCTCAAGCGGGACATGAAAATTTCAGTAAGTGGCAATACAAAAAATATATCATGTCAAACATCTCCTATTAACATGTTTAACATGGTTAACATCCATACAATAAATGAAAAACAAAAAAGTAAAAAGAGAAATGGTACTAGAACTATACCTTCCATCAAGCGATCGATGAATGTGGAGGAACTCAAATGGATGTTTGCACTGAGGGCATGTTGGTTCATTTTTATATGTGGCCCACCGAAGTATGCACATCACACTGAACAAAGCAATCAAAGTCAATGGATTAATAGCTTACCAATAAATAGTTCAACAATACAATTGCAGGCCATTGGCTAATGAGGACATATATCATTATAATTATTCCCTCTGTTCCTAAATATCTGTCGTTTTACATAATTTTTTTTGTTCCATAATATCTGTCATTTTATAAAATTAAAGCATAATTAATATTTTTTCTTCCAAGTTTACAATTAACTTTTCAAAGCATTACATTAGGTAGAGGCTAAGTGTCTTTCATATTCTTTTCCTTCCCAATACATATTGAATAAGGGTATTTTAGTCTTGTGTAATTATTTTTTACTCATATTACAACTATTTAATAGCTTCTTTAATCCCTGTGCAAAAACCTTAAACGACAGATATTTAGAAACGGAGGGAGTACCATATTTCATGTTTCCATCCTACTTTGAGCTTTGATTTCACCAAATGAGCATCTTGGACAACAATTAGATAAGAAAAAACAAATTCTACTAGCAGACCACCACTCCATACGCGACATTCAAGTGCTCTCCATCTATGGTTTTGTTTCGCACCCGCTTTTATCCACTCAGCTAGTCCATTTTTAATTTTCTAATGTTATTAATTGTATTCATCATCACAGTTCAAACCTAGGTCCCAACTAAAGCCCCTGACTGATATGCTCCAAGCAAGAGTCTGTCCCATAGATCCATATTTACATTTTTCTAGAAAAAATTAGTCTAATACTATCTGAGTCAAAGGCACAAAGGCAACAAGAGGAAAACAATTTTGAAAATTGCTATTCATCCTTATCTAGGTACAAAACAGGGGATCACTTCTGAATCCATATACAACAGCCTTAGGTCTTGTCTCACATTGGTAAGTAATGCCTACGAAACTAGAATATGAGTTTAGTGTGTCTCTCCATTGCCAATTCGTAATGAGGTCCCCCTTCCCCCCAAAAAAACACAAAAAAACCACCACTCATTATCAATAAGTTTTGAATTGTTTTGTTCAACAATGAAAATGGCTTTTAAATTTTGCGGTATCATGAGATATAAGCATGACCATGTCAACAACCAAGTAACAGTATGAGGCCAAGTATCCCCAATCAAGCGAAATACGCATACATATAATTATAGTCAAGAAATGGTAGATAACCAGGGAGTTGACTTAGACAAACCAGTAGGCATGCTCGCAACCTTTTACAAGGGCAGTTTCTTGAAGAATTATCTTAGACAAACAAATGGCACAAACCCCATGATGACCATCCCCACACTTCACTTGAGGAAGCTCCACTGCAATCTGCAATTCGCTCCGAAAGACACAAAGCCAAATCAATTATATCCACCCAGTTACAAATACAATTAAATAACACTAACAAGACCCACTTCCCAGTTGCAAAAAAACCTCCAAAAGAACCACACTAAACCTAATACACATAATTGCTAGATTTTATTTAAATACAACCAATTTTGTGAAACAAAAGTGAAGAATCAACATTTTCTTGCACTATTGATTTTCTCGGCAAACAAAAAAGGATTGACCAAAATGCTATGAACCCAAAAATAAATATAAGCAAAATATATGACTTAATACTCCATTTGGTTGCCAAGAAATTTGAAGAACATGTACAAGATACTTTACATTTTGCCAATGGTCCCTCGGTGAATTGAAACAACAAAAATAAATAATAATGATTGGATAATATTAAGATATTTTTGTAATTTTTGGTCAAATTTATCGCCACCCAAGCAAGATCTAGTTGAAGAACGCACAAAATATAGAAATTAAAGCGGAATCACAAGAAACCCACCTGCTCTTGGCCCAATAGATCGTCAAGAAGGTCGGTTGGTTGTTGACTATCGATCTTGACGATGGTACTCGTTGTCTATGGCACCGGAGAAGAAAAGAGAATTTAATCGGAAAGAGAATAGAAAATCTACAGAGAGAAATATCGATTCCAAAGAAGAAAAGAGCCCTCCAGGAGAAAATGCAGCAGCAGAAATAAACAATAATGGTACCTCGGTGTATTGAAACAATCAGAAATTGAACAACTTTAATTTTCTCGGAAATCAATCAATATCCAAGATGTTCAAGAATCGACAAAAATATAGAAACTAAGGCGAATCACATGAAACCCACCTGTTCTTGGGCCGATAGATCGTCAAGAAGGTCGGTTGATTCTTGATCATCAATCTTGACGACGGTACTTATTGTCTATGGCACCGGAGAAGAAAAGAGAAGTTAACAAGTTGTCGAAGTAATAATATACATGCGAGAGAGAGAGAGAGAGAGAAATTCCAAAGCGCAATTCTTATTCCAAGAAGAGAGCAGATAATGCAACAACAGAAATAAGTAATAATGGNACAAATGCTGCTGATGTTTGGCAGCAGCTGCCTTATCGGCAGCTTCACGCTTTAGTGCCCTTTTTGCCCTTCGTCCAACGGTATCTTTTGCAATCTCTTTCTTCTTAGGTTCACGTGATGGACCAGCACCAGACCCCTGGACATTTGGATGAGAAACTGGCCTTGCTTGTTGCCGCCCTGCCCTAACATATCCATTATCACCCCATCTCCGGTTACCTATGCGGAAACTTGATGAACTGGCCAAGTAAACATCATCTAAACCTTCCCCATCATCCTCATAGAGATACAAGTCCTCCACCTCATCATCCACCTCCCCCTGGTCCTCCACAACTAAAGGCTTTAACCACGAGGCTCTAAGGAGGAGGCAAACACTCTCCTCAAACAAAAAATCATGCATACTGCTCAAGCGGGACATGAAAATTTCAGTAAGTGGCAATACAAAAAATATATCATGTCAAACATCTCCTATTAACATGTTTAACATGGTTAACATCCATACAATAAATGAAAAACAAAAAAGTAAAAAGAGAAATGGTACTAGAACTATACCTTCCATCAAGCGACCGATGAATGTGGAGGAACTCAAATGGATGTTTGCACTGAGGGCATGTTGGTTCATTTTTATATGTGGCCCACCGAAGTATGCACATCACACTGAACAAAGCAATCAAAGTCAATGGATTAATAGCTTACCAATAAATAGTTCAACAATACAATTGCAGGCCATTGGCTAATGAGGACATATATCATTATAATTATTCCCTCTGTTCCTAAATATCTGTCGTTTTACATAATTTTTTTTGTTCCATAATATCTGTCATTTTATAAAATTAAAGCATAATTAATATTTTTTCTTCCAAGTTTACAATTAACTTTTCAAAGCATTACATTAGGTAGAGGCTAAGTGTCTTTCATATTCTTTTCCTTCCCAATACATATTGAATAAGGGTATTTTAGTCTTGTGTAATTATTTTTTACTCATATTACAACTATTTAATAGCTTCTTTAATCCCTGTGCAAAAACCTTAAACGACAGATATTTAGAAACGGAGGGAGTACCATATTTCATGTTTCCATCCTACTTTGAGCTTTGATTTCACCAAATGAGCATCTTGGACAACAATTAGATAAGAAAAAACAAATTCTACTAGCAGACCACCACTCCATACGCGACATTCAAGTGCTCTCCATCTATGGTTTTGTTTCGCACCCGCTTTTATCCACTCAGCTAGTCCATTTTTAATTTTCTAATGTTATTAATTGTATTCATCATCACAGTTCAAACCTAGGTCCCAACTAAAGCCCCTGACTGATATGCTCCAAGCAAGAGTCTGTCCCATAGATCCATATTTACATTTTTCTAGAAAAAATTAGTCTAATACTATCTGAGTCAAAGGCACAAAGGCAACAAGAGGAAAACAATTTTGAAAATTGCTATTCATCCTTATCTAGGTACAAAACAGGGGATCACTTCTGAATCCATATACAACAGCCTTAGGTCTTGTCTCACATTGGTAAGTAATGCCTACGAAACTAGAATATGAGTTTAGTGTGTCTCTCCATTGCCAATTCGTAATGAGGTCCCCCTTCCCCCCAAAAAAACACAAAAAAACCACCACTCATTATCAATAAGTTTTGAATTGTTTTGTTCAACAATGAAAATGGCTTTTAAATTTTGCGGTATCATGAGATATAAGCATGACCATGTCAACAACCAAGTAACAGTATGAGGCCAAGTATCCCCAATCAAGCGAAATACGCATACATATAATTATAGTCAAGAAATGGTAGATAACCAGGGAGTTGACTTAGACAAACCAGTAGGCATGCTCGCAACCTTTTACAAGGGCAGTTTCTTGAAGAATTATCTTAGACAAACAAATGGCACAAACCCCATGATGACCATCCCCACACTTCACTTGAGGAAGCTCCACTGCAATCTGCAATTCGCTCCGAAAGACACAAAGCCAAATCAATTATATCCACCCAGTTACAAATACAATTAAATAACACTAACAAGACCCACTTCCCAGTTGCAAAAAAACCTCCAAAAGAACCACACTAAACCTAATACACATAATTGCTAGATTTTATTTAAATACAACCAATTTTGTGAAACAAAAGTGAAGAATCAACATTTTCTTGCACTATTGATTTTCTCGGCAAACAAAAAAGGATTGACCAAAATGCTATGAACCCAAAAATAAATATAAGCAAAATATATGACTTAATACTCCATTTGGTTGCCAAGAAATTTGAAGAACATGTACAAGATACTTTACATTTTGCCAATGGTCCCTCGGTGAATTGAAACAACAAAAATAAATAATAATGATTGGATAATATTAAGATATTTTTGTAATTTTTGGTCAAATTTATCGCCACCCAAGCAAGATCTAGTTGAAGAACGCACAAAATATAGAAATTAAAGCGGAATCACAAGAAACCCACCTGCTCTTGGCCCAATAGATCGTCAAGAAGGTCGGTTGGTTGTTGACCATCGATCTTGACGATGGTACTCGTTGTCTATGGCACCGGAGAAGAAAAGAGAACTTAATCGGAAAGAGAATAGAAAATCTACAGAGAGAAATATCGATTCCAAAGAAGAAAAGAGCCCTCCAGGAGAAAATGCAGCAGCAGAAATAAACAATAATGGTACCTCGGTGTATTGAAACAATCAGAAATTGAACAACTTTAATTTTCTCGGAAATCAATCAATATCCAAGATGTTCAAGAATCGACAAAAATATAGAAACTAAGGCGAATCACATGAAACCCACCTGTTCTTGGGCCGATAGATCGTCAAGAAGGTCGGTTGATTCTTGATCATCAATCTTGACGACGGTACTCATTGTCTATGGCACCGGAGAAGAAAAGAGAAGTTAACAAGTTGTCGAAGTAATAATATACATGCGAGAGAGAGAGAGAGAAATTCCAAAGCGCAATTCTTATTCCAAGAAGAGAGCAGATAATGCAACAACAGAAATAAGTAATAATGGTCCCTCGGTAAATTGAAACAACAGAAATTGGACAACATACGAATTCTCCGCTAATTTTTCACGGCAAACAAGCACGATGTGGTCCAAGAAGTTCAAGAATCGACAAAATCAGACGAAACCCACCTGTTCTTGGGCCGATAGATCATGAAGAAGGTCGGCCAGTTCTTCACCATCGACCTTGATGATGGTGCTCATCGTCTTTGGCACCGGAGAAGAAAAGAGAAGCTCAGATGTTGTCGAAGTCATATACGTAAAGAGAGAAAAATCGATTCCAATAAAAGAGCCCTCTAGGAGAGAATGCAACAACGGAAATTGGACAACATAAGAATTCTCTGTTAATTTTCTCGGAAACCAATCAAGAAATAGTCCAAGAAGTTCAAAAATCAACAAAAAATATAGAAACTAAAGGCGAATCACAGGAAACCCACCTGTTCTTGGGCCGATAGATCGTCAAGAAGGTCGGTTGGTTCTTCCCCATCGATCTTGACGACGGTACTCATCATCTTCTATGGCAACGGAGAAGCTAAGAAGTTGTTGAACTAATATATACGTAAAAGAGAATCTAATCGGAGAGACAGAGAAGAGAAAATTTGCAGAGGAAATGTAGAGAGAGAAAGAAGAAAGATTAGATTCCTAAGAATAANTTTTTATATGTGGCCCACCGAAGTATGCACATCACACTGAACAAAGCAATCAAAGTCGATGGATTAATAGCTTACCAATAAATAGTTCAACACTACAACTGCAGGCCATTGGCTAATGAGGACATATATCATTATAATTATNGAAATGTAGAGAGAGAAAGAAGAAAGATTAGATTCCTAAGAATAATTCTTATTCCAAGAAGAGAGCGGAGGGCTCTGTAGGAGGAGAGAACGAAGCCAAGTAGGCTGTGAATCACAATTAAATAGGAGAGGAATTTCTAACTTCTAAAAGACAGAGCCCNAATTCTTATTCCAAGAAGAGAGCGGAGGGCTCTGTAGGAGGAGAGAACGAAGCCAAGGAGGCTGTGAATCACAATTAAATAGGAGAGGAATTTCCAACTTCTAAAAGACTTTTAAGGGCTCTGTAGGAGGCCTNCTGTCGTTTTACATAATTTTTTTTGTTCCATAATATCTGTCGTTTTATAAAACTAAAACATAATTAATATTTTTTCGTCCAAATTTACCCTTAACTTTTCAAAGCATTACATTAGGTGGANTTTCCAACTTCTAAAAGACTTTTAAGGGCTCTGTAGGAGGCCTTTAAAAGTCTTTATGTGATAAATATTACACTTACGCCCCAAATATTTTATCAAAAGATCAATCAAACCCTAATTTCAAGCTCTAGANTATTATTTTCCTTCCCAATACATATTGAATAAGGGTATTTTAGTCTTGTGTAATTATTTTTTACTCATATTACAGCTATTTAATAGCTTCTTTAATCCCTGTGCAAAAATCTTAAACGACAGATATTTAGAAACGGAGGGAGTACCATATTTCATGTTTCCATCCTACTTCGAGCTTTGATTTCACCAAATGAGCATCTTGGACAACAATTAGATAAGAAAAAACAAATTCTACTAGTAGACCACCACTCCATACGCGACATTCAAGTGCTCTCCATCTATGGTTTTGTTTCGCACCCGCTTTTATCCACTCAGCTAGTCCATTTTTAATTTTCTAATGTTATTAATTGTATTCATCATCACAGTTCAAACCTAGGTCCCAACTAAAGCCCCTGACTGATATGCTCCAAGCAAGAGTCTGTCCCATAGATCCATATTTACATTTTTCTAGAAAAAATTAGTCTAATACTATCTGAGTCAAAGGTACAAAGGCAACAAGAGGAAAACAATTTTGAAAATTGCTATTCATCCTTATCTAGGTACAAAACAGGGGATCATTTCTGAATCCATATACAACAGCCTTAGGTCTTGTCTCACATTGGTAAGTAATGCCTACGAAACTAGAATATGAGTTTAGCGTGTCTCTCCATTGCCAATTAGTAATGAGGTACCCCTTCCCCCCAAAAAAACACAAAAAAACCTCCACTCATTATCAATAAGTTTTGAATTGTTTTGTTCAACAATGAAAATGGCTTTTAAATTTTGCGGTATCATGAGATATAAGCATGACCATGTCAACAACCAAGTAACAGTATGAGGCCAAGTATCCCCAATCAAGCGAAATACGCATACATATAATTATAGTCAAGAAATGGTAGATAACCAGGGAGTTGACTTAGACAAACCAGTAGGCATGCTCGCAACCTTTTACAAGGGCAGTTTCTTGAAGAATTATCTTAGACAAACAAATGGCACAAACCCCATGATGACCATCCCCACACTTCACTTGAGGAAGCTCCACTGCAATCTGCAATTCGCTCCGAAAGACACAAAGCCAAATCAATTATATCCACCCAGTTACAAATACAATTAAATAACACTAACAAGACCCACTTCCCAGTTGCAAAAAAACCTCCAAAAGAACCACACTAAACCTAATACACATAATTGCTAGATTTTATTTAAATACAACCAATTTTGTGAAACAAAAGTGAAGAATCAACATTTTCTTGCACTATTGATTTTCTCGGCAAACAAAAAAGGATTGACCAAAATGCTATGAACCCAAAAATAAATATAAGCAAAATATATGACTTAATACTCCATTTGGTTGCCAAGAAATTTGAAGAACATGTACAAGATACTTTACATTTTGCCAATGGTCCCTCGGTGAATTGAAACAACAAAAATAAATAATAATGATTGGATAATATTAAGATATTTTTGTAATTTTTGGTCAAATTTATCGCCACCCAAGCAAGATCTAGTTGAAGAACGCACAAAATATAGAAATTAAAGCGGAATCACAAGAAACCCACCTGCTCTTGGCCCAATAGATCGTCAAGAAGGTCGGTTGGTTGTTGACTATCGATCTTGACGATGGTACTCGTTGTCTATGGCACCGGAGAAGAAAAGAGAATTTAATCGGAAAGAGAATAGAAAATCTACAGAGAGAAATATCGATTCCAAAGAAGAAAAGAGCCCTCCAGGAGAAAATGCAGCAGCAGAAATAAACAATAATGGTACCTCGGTGTATTGAAACAATCAGAAATTGAACAACTTTAATTTTCTCGGAAATCAATCAATATCCAAGATGTTCAAGAATCGACAAAAATATAGAAACTAAGGCGAATCACATGAAACCCACCTGTTCTTGGGCCGATAGATCGTCAAGAAGGTCGGTTGATTCTTGATCATCAATCTTGACGACGGTACTCATTGTCTATGGCACCGGAGAAGAAAAGAGAAGTTAACAAGTTGTCGAAGTAATAATATACATGCGAGAGAGAGAGAGAGAGATTCCAAAGCGCAATTCTTATTCCAAGAAGAGAGCAGATAATGCAACAACAGAAATAAGTAATAATGGTCCCTCGGTGAATTGAAACAACAGAAATTGGACAACATACGAATTCTCCGCTAAATTTTTCACGGCAAACAAGCACGATGTGGTCCAAGAAGTTCAAGAATCGACAAAATCAGACGAAACCCACCTGTTCTTGGGCCGATAGATCATGAAGAAGGTCGGCCAGTTCTTCACCATCGACCTTGATGACGGTGCTCATCGTCTTTGGCACCGGAGAAGAAAAGAGAAGCTCAGATGTTGTCGAAGTCATATACGTAAAGAGAGAAAAATCGATTCCAATAAAAGAGCCCTCTAGGAGAGAATGCAACAACGGAAATTGGACAACATAAGAATTCTCTGTTAATTTTCTCGGAAACCAATCAAGAAATAGTCCAAGAAGTTCAAAAATCAACAAAAAATATAGAAACTAAAGGCGAATCACAGGAAACCCACCTGTTCTTGGGCCGATAGATCGTCAAGAAGGTCGGTTGGTTCTTCCCCATCGATCTTGACGACGGTACTCATCATCTTCTATGGCAACGGAGAAGCTAAGAAGTTGTTGAACTAATATATACGTAAAAGAGAATCTAATCGGAGAGACAGAGAAGAGAAAATTTGCAGAGGAAATGTAGAGAGAGAAAGAAGAAAGATTAGATTCCTAAGAATAATTCTTATTCCAAGAAGAGAGCGGAGGGCTCTGTAGGAGGAGAGAACGAAGCCAAGTAGGCTGTGAATCACAATTAAATAGGAGAGGAATTTCTAACTTCTAAAAGACAGAGCCCTTAAAAGTCTTTATGTGATAAATATTACACTTACGCCCCAAATATTTTATCAAAAGATCAATCAAACCCTAATTTCAAGCTCTAGAATAATCATGATTTTCACATACCCATAATACAAAATTAAAACATTATAATCCAAGACCTAGAACAATCATGATTATTTTAACATACTCATAATACAGAATAAAACATTATAATCTAAGATCTAGAACAATTATGATTTTTATATACTCATATCAACATACCTAGAGCCGTCATCNTAGAATAATCATGATTTTCACATACCCATAATACAAAATTAAAACATTATAATCCAAGATCTAGAACAATCATGATTATTTTAACATACTCATAATACATAATTAAAACATTATAATCTAAGATCTAGAACAATTATGATTTTTATATACTCATATCAACATACCTAGAGCCGTCATANCAAGCAAGAGTCTGTCCCATAGATCCATATTTACATTTTTCTAGAAAAAATTAGTCTAATACTATCTGAGTCAAAGGTACAAAGGCAACAAGAGGAAAACAATTTTGAAAATTGCTATACATCCTTATCTAGGTACAAAACAGGGGATCATTTCTGAATCCATATACAACAGCCTTAGGTCTTGTCTCACATTGGTAAGTAATGCCTACGAAACTAGAATATGAGTTTAGCGTGTCTCTCCATTGCCAATTAGTAATGAGGTACCCCTTCCCCCCAAAAAAACACAAAAAAACCACCACTCATTATCAATAAGTTTTGAATTGTTTTGTTCAACAATGAAAATGGCTTTTAAATTTTGCGGTATCATGAGATATAAGCATGACCATGTCAACAACCAAGTAACAGTATGAGGCCAAGTATCCCCAACCAAGCGAAATACGCATACATATAATTATAGTCAAGAAATGGTAGATAACCAGGGAGTTGACTTAGACAAACCAGTAGGCATGCTCGCAACCTTTTACAAGGGCAGTTTCTTGAAGAATTATCTTAGACAAACAAATGGCACAAACCCCATGATGACCATCCCCACACTTCACTTGAGGAAGCTCCACTGCAATCTGCAATTCGCTCCGAAAGACACAAAGCCAAATCAATTATATCCACCCAGTTACAAATACAATTAAATAACACTAACAAGACCCACTTCCCAGTTGCAAAAAAACCTCCAAAAGAACCACACTAAACCTAATACACATAATTGCTAGATTTTATTTAAATACAACCAATTTTGTGAAACAAAAGTGAAGAATCAACATTTTCTTGCACTATTGATTTTCTCGGCAAACAAAAAAGGATTGACCAAAATGCTATGAACCCAAAAATAAATATAAGCAAAATATATGACTTAATACTCCATTTGGTTGCCAAGAAATTTGAAGAACATGTACAAGATACTTTACATTTTGCCAATGGTCCCTCGGTGAATTGAAACAACAAAAATAAATAATAATGATTGGATAATATTAAGATATTTTTGTAATTTTTGGTCAAATTTATCGCCACCCAAGCAAGATCTAGTTGAAGAACGCACAAAATATAGAAATTAAAGCGGAATCACAAGAAACCCACCTGCTCTTGGCCCAATAGATCGTCAAGAAGGTCGGTTGGTTGTTGACTATCGATCTTGACGATGGTACTCGTTGTCTATGGCACCGGAGAAGAAAAGAGAATTTAATCGGAAAGAGAATAGAAAATCTACAGAGAGAAATATCGATTCCAAAGAAGAAAAGAGCCCTCCAGGAGAAAATGCAGCAGCAGAAATAAACAATAATGGTACCTCGGTGTATTGAAACAATCAGAAATTGAACAACTTTAATTTTCTCGGAAATCAATCAATATCCAAGATGTTCAAGAATCGACAAAAATATAGAAACTAAGGCGAATCACATGAAACCCACCTGTTCTTGGGCCGATAGATCGTCAAGAAGGTCGGTTGATTCTTGATCATCAATCTTGACGACGGTACTCATTGTCTATGGCACCGGAGAAGAAAAGAGAAGTTAACAAGTTGTCGAAGTAATAATATACATGCGAGAGAGAGAGAGAGAGATTCCAAAGCGCAATTCTTATTCCAAGAAGAGAGCAGATAATGCAACAACAGAAATAAGTAATAATGGTCCCTCGGTGAATTGAAACAACAGAAATTGGACAACATACGAATTCTCCGCTAAATTTTTCACGGCAAACAAGCACGATGTGGTCCAAGAAGTTCAAGAATCGACAAAATCAGACGAAACCCACCTGTTCTTGGGCCGATAGATCATGAAGAAGGTCGGCCAGTTCTTCACCATCGACCTTGATGACGGTGCTCATCGTCTTTGGCACCGGAGAAGAAAAGAGAAGCTCAGATGTTGTCGAAGTCATATACGTAAAGAGAGAAAAATCGATTCCAATAAAAGAGCCCTCTAGGAGAGAATGCAACAACGGAAATTGGACAACATAAGAATTCTCTGTTAATTTTCTCGGAAACCAATCAAGAAATAGTCCAAGAAGTTCAAAAATCAACAAAAAATATAGAAACTAAAGGCGAATCACAGGAAACCCACCTGTTCTTGGGCCGATAGATCGTCAAGAAGGTCGGTTGGTTCTTCCCCATCGATCTTGACGACGGTACTCATCATCTTCTATGGCAACGGAGAAGCTAAGAAGTTGTTGAACTAATATATACGTAAAAGAGAATCTAATCGGAGAGACAGAGAAGAGAAAATTTGCAGAGGAAATGTAGAGAGAGAAAGAAGAAAGATTAGATTCCTAAGAATAATTCTTATTCCAAGAAGAGAGCGGAGGGCTCTGTAGGAGGAGAGAACGAAGCCAAGTAGGCTGTGAATCACAATTAAATAGGAGAGGAATTTCTAACTTCTAAAAGACAGAGCCCTTAAAAGTCTTTATGTGATAAATATTACACTTACGCCCCAAATATTTTATCAAAAGATCAATCAAACCCTAATTTCAAGCTCTAGAATAATCATGATTTTCACATACCCATAATACAAAATTAAAACATTATAATCCAAGATCTAGAACAATCATGATTATTTTAACATACTCATAATACATAATTAAAACATTATAATCTAAGATCTAGAACAATTATGATTTTTATATACTCATATCAACATACCTAGAGCCGTCATAGTAAATCTTAATCCAAAAACCCTTTTCATGTAGCCTGAAAAATCAATCTCTCTCTTTTATGATACACAACTCAATAAAGTGTGTGTATATTTATAGGACCGGTTTACTTGTTCAACCATAATTCCACTTCCCATCAAAGTATAGAAAACTACTTCTCTTAATTGACCAATCATAAACCGTTAAGTTTTCTCGTTCAACCATAATTCCATTTCCTATCAAAGTAGATGTATAGGAAACTGTTTCTTTTAATTGACCAATTATAAATTTTAGTTATACCGATTAGATTAGAATTGATAACACTATCATTATCTAGTTCAAACTAATTATTCAATAATAATCAATAAAATCACATATGCCAAATCATGCGAGTCACGTTAATTCTTTTATATGGACCATTAGATCCGTGAATTTTGTTAAAAAAAATTGACACGACCCACTCATCAAATATTTCTCTCTCATTTGGGATCTCAAGTATTTGTCCACTTTAAATGTCATTAAAATGTATTGAATTATGCACACCCTACCATTGTCTTGTAATTAAGTTGTGCATCAAAAATAAAAAATGGCTATGCCCCTCGATACGTGTGTCCAAATCTAGTAGGCCTTGTCGGTATGATTTGAAAAACTACAAGGGTACCATTTAGAATTATAAGAGACAGAGGATTCCCTTATTGTAATTTTTATAGTCAATTCGTTCTTTTCCACATATAATATAGGGTTGTTGTGCAACCGGGGCATAGCTGATGGCATTACATATTTACGCAATATAATTGTTTCAAGTTAATTATATTTATATAATTATTTTTTTTTGGTATTAGGTTAATATAATAATATCTAATCAAACAACAACGACTCTTATATTTAATTTTAAAATTTAATATATTATTTTTATTAAATTAATAATAAATTTTATTTAATATATACTGATGGGTCAAGCTCAAAAACTCAACTCATGTTATAAGTCCAGTTCAAGTTTATAGTCCGACTCCAAAAGATTCAGCAAATTCAGTCCAGTGTGGCCAACTTGGTCAAGCTCATCAGCTCAATCCGGTCAAGCTCATCAGTGTGATCAGCCCGATCAAACTCATCAATGTGATCAGCCCGGTCAAGCTCAACAACTCAAGGAGCTAAGAGAGCAAGCAAGATCATCCAAAATCCTGTCCTCGCTGCCCTGGAGATGGTCAACACCTCACCTCATCCTTTGACCGAATCTCATGGATAGTACCGCAACTGTCTAGCACATTGAGAAGAGCTCGTCAGATCCAACAAACTAGTCAACTATTTACTAATATCTTGCCCAAATTTATTAGAAAGACGATTATAAATTGTAAGCTTCACCAACACTTGGGAGGTAGATATCACTTTATCTGAGCACGACTCTCTCCTCTCCCAAAAAGTTTGTACTTTCTGTTCCCCACGCCCTTGAGTTAATAAAGTACCCGGCGATCAGAGTCATTTAAGAGTGGACGTAGGAGGTCGAGTTGACCGAACCACTATAAATTACTTGTGTCTCTCCATCTCTTTATTTTATTTCTTGCATTTATTATTCACACTTGATGAGTGGTGTGCAAAACTATTTTGTGCATCATCGTATACTAAGACAAATTTGTATCAGGTAAATCTTAGAAGGTTTGAGTCTTTTTAAGCCACCTATTTTATAAATGAATAATTTTAACGCAACACAATTAATAAATAAACTATGTATGACTAAAGTTAATTAAAAACATATACAACATGACTCGTATTTATATTAGTTCACGCAATACAAATTTGATATGCTACGAATATATTAAAATTCGATACAAACTCGCTTCTTTCGATACGCTTGATAAGCTGGAATGCTCAATTTGTTATTATTAGCTTCAACAACGACAGTGCACAAAAAAGAATCTGATTATTTTATGTATTTTAATAACTTTATTGGGTTGCTCGATTTTAGGTAAGTAATAACATACAAGATCGGTTAATTTGAATATGTTGAGAAAATTCATTTTTTATGCAATAGCATAATATCAAAGATTACAATGAGACCAACCAAATACAATAATTTCTTTTTTTGGGTCAGACATTATTACTGCGAGAAAAATAACGAAGAACTCATAATTTTAATATCTAACAACAGAGGCAGTAATTATTAGGTCAACTAATATACGAGAGAAATGACGAGATTCAAACTTACGAACTATTATAGGAGAGAGATGACAAGATTCAAACTCACAACTTTAACATCTAATAAAGGAATTGGTGATCATTAGACCAATCATTATCCTCCACCCAATTTATATTCAAGTGGAATCTATTACAGTTAAACGAGTCTTTTACTTGTTAATGGTTGACAATTTGTCAAGAAAAAACTATGAAAAGATATTTGGATCAATTTTCTAGGAAGGAATGATGTGTATATAAATTTTTTATATCTCATTTAATAAACTTTTGGATTAATCTTACTAATTAATAATGGATATTAAATGTTTTTTGAACTAGAAAAGGGGGGAGGGGCTACCCTTAGGTAGTAATCCCCTAGACATGACCATAAGAAAGGATCTCCCGTACTGTAGAATATTTAATTTAAGTCATAGTTATTAATCCAAAAGGACATTCTGTCATCATAGTACCACCAAGTTAACAAACAAATTGCGTTACTTCTATAAATCGAATCTTACTTCATAACTACACGAGAGTTAAGGACAATCCTAAATAAAAATGACTTATCACTAGACCACTAATTCGATAGATTAATTGGTATTAATTTGATAAGTGAAATTTGGAAAGATGATGAATAAGCCCCAAGGGGTAAGGAGGTAGGACGGGTTGTGCATATGACGCCACGGTAGGTGAGAGAAGTACTCCCCTTTCCAGCAAAGCGGTGGAGTACAGGATGCGGAGCTCCTCCAGAGATGTCGTGCGCGGTGACGGATGTAGATTATAGTAGAAGACCGACAACCTTACGACAAGTTAACTAATTGTAGAAGCTGTGTGTACAAATTGTGTTTGACCAAACAACTTCCTTTGTTTTTTCCCAACTAAGTGGTGTCATTATGGTCAACTTTTTGGGATGAATTTAATAAAATTTAAAATTTTATATTGAATAAATGTTTAATACAAATTATCTTGTAAGGGTAATATTCTCATTGAGTAATTGTTGTTTGTGTGTTTGCAAATATACTTAAGGGTTACAAATATATTGATAGGCCAAGTTCAAAAGGCCCAAATCCATGTTAAAAGTCCAATTATAATCAAA